TTTATTTGCTGTTTAAATTTGCTTTTTTAAAGAAACAGTAAACATTTCTTTAGTTTAATGGATAGAGTAAGAATAATTTGTTTCATAAATACCTTCATTAAAATATATATTAAAAATATATTAAATAAGAAAAAAAAGAATATCAATATTAGCAATATATATGACAATTAGATGTAAATAATAAAATGATAGAATTACATTTTATTGTATTTATAAATTGTAAATTGATATATCATTCCTCCTATACAACAGGGTTTATGTGGGCAGCATCAGCTTCGAATTGAAAGAGGACACAATTAGACAAGCATTTCTACCCTTTGGACCGATCAAGTCTATCAACATGTCTTGGGATCCTCTTACGCAGAAACATAAAGGATTTGCATTCGTCGAATATGAGATACCTGAAGCTGCACAACTTGCATTAGAACAAATGAATGGTGTCATGATTGGTGGACGTAACATCAAGGTAGCGGGACGTACCTATATAACGAATTTCCTGTCCCCCAGCAATCCTATCATCCCGCCGGAGGTCGGCAAATTTTTATTTTGTTTCACAAATTATAATCGATTGAACTGCATCGTGTTATATTTAGAATGCCGTTCGGTCGAGATCCTAATGTATTGTGTTTTTTTTTCTTTCTTTCCTGTCTTTTCCACTTTATTTATATTTGTCATATTAAAATGACAAAAAACTTTTTATATATTTATATATATATTTTCCTTTGCATTCCTTTACATTCCTCTTCTTTATGATATACAATTAAAAATCATCAATTCCTTTTTCTAAAATTTCCTAAATAACATTTTTGTTATTAGTAGTATATTTTTTATCCTTAATTCTATTATATAGATAGTTAAAAATCTTTAGTAATATTTAAGAATGTAACTATATAAAATTATCTGTTATATTAGAGAATATGAACATATTTATTTAACAAATAAGTATATATGATATTTTGTTAATACATATTATAGAATATATTCGTTTTTATTGATCTTTTTCAGGTAGTGGGAAGGCCATCCAATATGCCTCAAGCACAATCAGTTATTGATGAAATTACAGAAGAAAGTAAACATTACAACCGTATTTATATTGCATCTATACATCATGATTTGACAGAGGATGATATAAAGTCTGTTTTCGAAGCATTTGGACCTATTACTTATTGTAAATTAGCACAAGGTAGTTCACCTCATAGACATAAAGGCTATGGTTTTATTGAATATGAAACTATGCAAGCTGCTTTAGAAGCAATAGCATCTATGAATTTGTTTGACTTGGGTGGACAGTATCTAAGAGTTGGTAGAGCTATTACACCACCAAATGCTTTGATGGGACCTCCAAGTGGAACTAGTATGATGCCAACAGCTGCTGCAGTTGCGGCTGCTGCGGCTACAGCAAAAATACAAGCTATGGATGCAGTAGCTAGCAATGCTGTAGCACTTGGATTAACCAAACTTGGAGCAACAGCACCACCCATTTTAAATCAAGGTATTTATATAATGCTCATCATATTTACATACAACAAAGTTGTAATATACTTTCATTTATGTTTATTTTCTTTTGTTATTTATTATAGCTTTACCAGGAATAGTACGACCAACAATTGCACCTGCAACAATAATGGCACCTCCAACTGTTGCAACTGTTGCACCAGTTATACCACCTCCAGGTATTGCCATACCACAAACTTTAACACGTCCACCTGCGATTATACAACCAATTCCTGGGCAACCAGTTATTATACCACCTCGAGCTGTTGTTGCTCCTGCCATTGTAGGAGCTCCAGTTGTAAGTTTTTTTTCTTTTTGTTTTCATAAATATTATATAACGCATTGTCTAATTAAACATATTTTTTAATATCCATTTGTTTGTAGATACCAGTAGTCACAACAGCAAATTCTGATATTATGAGACGAGCACAAGAACAAGCAGCACATCAAAAACAACAAGAAGAATTACAGAAAAAATTACTAGAAGAAACGGAACCGCAAACATTGCAACAACAGGAAAATATGTCTATTAAGGGACAGAGTGCTCGACATCTTGTTATGCAAAAACTTATGCGTAAAGTAGAATCTCGTGTTGTCATTTTACGAAATATGGTAGCTCCTGAAGATATCGATGAAAGTCTAAAAGAAGAAATTCAAGATGAATGTTCTAAATTTGGCGTCGTAGAGCGTGTTATTATTTATAATGAACGACAATCTGAAGATGATGAAGATGCAGAAGTTATTGTGAAAATTTTTGTCGAATTTTCACAAATGAGTGGTAAGATAATTCCTTCAATATTATTATATGTTATTACCATATATGATAATATAATAATATATGTACATATATATATATTCTTATTATAGAAGCCGAACGAGCAAGAGATTCTTTAAATGGTCGTTATTTTGGTGGGAGACTAGTGAAAGGAGAGTTGTATGATCAAGCTCTATTTGATAATAGTGATTTTTCTGGTTGATTAGTGCATTCTCAATTAAACATTTATATATCAAATTCCATCAATTTCTACCACATGGAAGAATTTGTATTTGATGTTGACTGATAGTTTGTATTTGAACAAACTTCGGGATATTATTTATTACCAACTCCTACGATTATCAATCAAAGTATCTCGTTGATATTCAATAATTGATTTGTCATGTTAATATCTTCAGAAGTAAGATTCATTTCATGCGTTCACAATACCTGATAATATAAGTAATAATATTTTAAAAACATGGAGTTCATATTCAGAGTAAAGTTCTCTCGTTAAAAAGACTATTATACTACGATTTAATAAAATCATATAGGACATAAATAGATTTCTGTAATAATCAAACGAGCTAAATGGTTTTTTACTGTTTTATTTTAAATTAAATCTATTACAAAATATTATTGCAAAAATATGAAAATTGTGTTAACTTGATAAAAACACTGGATAAATATATTCATAAGCACTTGAATTTTAAAGTTGTGAAGTACAAGTTATCATAGTATCTGAATTTCCTATTTGAATTCATTTATTTAAAAGAATACTCTGAAAAAGATAAAAGGGTATTTTTTTTGTATAACATTAAACGTTTGTAAATTGTATGTTTCAAAGATGTAATCTTAAGTTTTACAATTTTTTTTCCAGTCGTAAAATGACTGATTTATAGATGAAAATATATGTAAATAGATGATAGAGAATAATAATAAATTGTTTTACACATAGTATTCCTGTAAAGTCAATAGTGCACACATTCATTTTCGGAAAGTAAGAAATTAATGCTACGAGATGTATATATTTACAAAGGTTTTATTGACTACAAATATAAAGGGTGTGTTATAATCATAACACAGTAAGCATATATTCTTTTTTATTTTTTTTATTTTAATTTACCTATATACATTCTTTATCAGTTATTTTAATTTTGGTTTAGATGTTTCTTCATTGTATTTATTCGTGGAATTGTATTCCTCATAGACAGGAAAACTTGTGTATCCACGTTTTTCAACAGATATTCCAGTTTCATTTAAAGCTTTTTGTTCTTTATTAGCAGCTTCTATTTTATCTGCATTCATTTTTTTAATCATAGCAATTTTATAATTTTTCTCTATTTCTTCGAAAGTAGGTGGTTCCTTCCTACGATGTCTCAACCAAGCTTCCCACTCTGCAGGTAGTTCTTGTTCAAAATCATCATTTATAGATTTAAAATATCGAGAAGGTAGCTTTTTTTTAGATGTGGCTTTTACAGCTACTTCGTAATATTTAGTTCCATAATAATCTTCTCCCATTAACTTAGGTCTATTAAAAGTAGGTTTAATTGATGCTAAAAAATCTCTAAATATCATTTGGAATATACCACGTTGTCGTCCAGACATCTTGGCTTTTACTTCTGCGTATAAAATAAATAAATTTTAATTACATAAATAACGAAAAAAAACTTCATTATTTAATTATTTTCAATGCAACTTTGGAATTTTCATCATTACAAAGTAAATAATCTAAAACTTTATATTCTTATACGAATTCGAATTTACAGAAATTAATTAAAAAGTGTTGAAGTTTAAAAAATAAAATAATATTATTATATAAAAAGTATTTATATCTTTTTCTATTTATTATAAAATATGATAAATTCGTCGTAAAGAAAAAAAGCGATACAATATGATACAAATTATTTGATAGTACCACATATTTAAAAGTAATGTTATACACATGTCTAATCTATTTACGAATATACAAAAGATATTCATAGCAATCTTTATTAATTGAATTATTAGAAAGAATAAATTATTCATATTATTTTTTCATGAATTCAATTAAATAGGTTATCGTTAATTTTTTGAAAATATTTTTTAAAAATAATATCATTATTTTTAATCATTTGAATAGAGTATTACACTTGATTTAGAAAACAAAATATAAAAGTTAAATAAAAATTATTCATTAAAGAGAAAATTATATATACAAATAAATACTTGACAGTTCTTTCTTAAATTAGTTTTCTATGTTTAATAATAATATATCTCTAACATTACTATATTAAATAAAAAAAAATAACGAATTTTGTAAAAAGATTCTTCTTTTATATATATAAATAAGAAAACAATAATCTTTGGCTAAACAGTAAGGCACAGATTATGACTTGAAGTGTTTAATGAGATTAGATTTATATAAGGCTTCGATGAGAACGACATTTGCAAACATCGATATCCCGTAATTTAATAAACATTTTTAGAAATGCTTCATTTTCATTACTTGTAACGTTTCAGATTCCTAGAGTGCGTTTACCTTGGTTCAAATATTTTTGAATCAATTGTTGATAAGAATCACATGGAACAGAGAAAAGGTATGTACAAAGAATAAACGTGAAGTTCGATTCGAAAAATCGTAGTAGTTATCGAATAGCGATATCGATTAATCGTTCAATGACGAGATACTGACAACGTCAGACTTAAAGTAAAAAAAGAACATCGTGCATACATGTATATGTATGTCATGCATATGTAATATGTATGTACCTATATATGTATATGTATACATAGGTTTTTAGGTTGATTTGATGACGATTATATCGGGGGATGAAAAGATGTCGCATTGCGAATGCAACAAGAGATACTTAGAAGGGATTGGTGGGGGGAGCGCGTGAACGGTGCCGCCCTTGCCGATTGGTTACGTCACTTCCAGGCGTGATGGAGTGTCGTGTGTGATGTGCGTGTGCTGAAAATGGCCGCGTATATCGAGGTCTTCCGAGTTTACTGATCCACGGCTGATAGCTTCATACGCTTAACTTTACCTATTTGTACGTTAGTGAATTTCTAACAAAACGTGTTGGTGCGTGCTAAATTCGAAGAAACGATTGTCGTGCCTTTCTATCTTAAAGTTTAATCAATATTTGCGTTCTTTACAAAGAGAAAGAGAGAGATAGAAAGATATCATTCGTATACATGGAACTTGTTTCCTTGGATCCTCAAGTCGTGAAAGAAGGAAGGTGAGAGACGGAGGACGTGCCGCATATTTTCATCCCACGAACGTGTTCTCCTTATGTTACCTTCGATGGTCGATTATATCGTGTGAGTTCTCAACCGTTTGTTAAATTTATAATAACAATTAAATTATTTTCGAATAATTCTTGCCATCGTTTCGATCGAATGATCGGCAAAAAAAAAAAAATATATATATATATATATATATATATATATATATATATATATATATATATGTATACACGATAGATCGTGATTGGCTTTCCTATGGATTTTACGAACAAGCACGAGCTTTACATTCCTTATTTTCATGAAATCCAATGTAATAGGTTGTACGTTATTTCCAATTAAACGAACCTTTAATTTGTACTCAAATGTATTATAATTGCATTTGTTAAATAATATTGTTTTTCTGATATCTAAATCATTCTATGAGAAATGAAATTGGAGTTTCGAGGATGATGGAGAAAGTGCATTCGCCGTACGATGGCGGCCAGGCATGACCGAATCCTGCTTGTCAAAATTGTGTCAACCGCGTGACCGCTGAACGATACCACCTGCCCAATTGTTTTTGATTAATAGAGCGTTTGAAAGTGAACGATATGTATGTTTCTCTCCTCTTCCGTCACATCCTACGTTTCATCTCGATTCATGTATATATTTATATACCGACTATGACCGAATGTGCGGTAACTGTTTCTATCTTTTTCTTTTTCTTACTCTTTTCTCTCTCTTTCTCTTTTTCTCTGTTTCTTTAGTCTATTCCCTTCTCCTTCTTCTCCTCCTCCTTCTCCTATTTTTTAACGCGATAATTAGTGCGAACAGAGATGAATAAAACCACGGGATCTTCGCGGAAGTTCTCTGTGTTCGGTAATAAAACATTTTTGCACTTCCGTAATAACGTTCAACATGATTTTCGATCGCTCATAAGTAGGAAGAATTTAGACATTATTTTCTTTTTTATTTTTCTTTCAAGCAAACCTTTATTTTCTATCTTATTTACATTTAAATCCCCTTTGAATTTGGATTTTATAGTTATTTTATTAAAAATACATTCAAATAATCTTAATGTAATTATCTGTTTCTATATAAACTATATTACCATATGTAATGGCAATTGTGTGTAATTTGGGTTTTATTTAATATTAGTAGCAGAATCTACTGGTCGCATTTGGAGAAGTAAACATCATCCTAAGATTTTCTTCGACCTTAATAAGCCTTGCGTTTTACGATTAATATCATTCTGATAGCATTTATCAGTACAATATATATTTATCAAGTATAATGAAAAGAAAAAGAGATTTGTTTTATCTGCATTTTTATGTAGAAATTTTATAACACTTTAGTAAGATGTTGCATTATCGCGAATTATTGTTTTGTGAATGTATAGAAAAATTAATAGTAAAAAATTGAAAATATATTAAAAATAATATATTTTATTTTAACTTGTGTTTCAGAAACCTGCCACATTTTAATAATGGATTACGTTTTCAATATGGATATTTACTTTAGTTTATATCAAGGTACTCATTAATTAATGAGCAAACTTATAGTTTATCAAGATGCGGGAGAGGTCTGCTATGATCCCCTGGTATCCAGCGGGGATCTAAATTAAACTAAGTAACAACAAAATAGTTTGATTGTTATATAAATCAAGATGAAAACGGAAGTAAAATCATAATATTCAGTCTTCGAAGAAATGAAATCTTTATGTACTGAATGAGAATTATACTTTCATGAAATATTTTTATTGGGCTTTTTGTGGTCATAATATATACATAATTTATGTACCCAAGTATTTGAACTGCGTATAGACATAATGTAATTACAGTGCAAGTTAAGTTTATATACACAAGTGTGTTAATAAAAAGAAATCACTATGTCGTTTTTATCGAATTTAAAGAAAGCATTCCACTTCGGTGGCAATGACGCAAAAAAGAAAAAGTTATATAATAATATTAAAATGGATTGTAACCCAGAAGAATTCTGGGAAATGGTCGGTGAACTTGGAGATGGTGCATTTGGAAAAGTTTACAAGGTATATAAATTATATCATAAAAATTATTTATTTTATTTATTATCATTTTTCATTTTATAATTGCTTATAGGCGCAGCATAAACAAACTCATCAGTTGGCTGCTGCAAAAATGTGTGCATTGGAAGGGGAAGATGATCTTAGCGATTTTATGATTGAAATCGATATCTTGTCTGAATGTAAACATCCAAATGTTGTTGAATTACATGAAGCATATTTTATAGAAGGCAAATTATGGGTAAGTATATTTGGAATTAACATCTAATTGACATATAGAAGAAGCATTATTTTTATTTTAACAATAACATAATATTTACAGATGTTGATTGAATACTGTGATGGTGGTGCTGTAGATTCTATTATGGTGGAATTGGAGAAAGCATTGACAGAAGGTCAAATATCATATGTGTGTCAGCATATGGTAAAGGGTCTAGCATTCTTACATAAATCCAAAGTTATCCATAGGGATTTAAAGGCAGGAAATGTTTTATTAACCATGGCGGGAGGTGTCAAACTTGGTAATAATATTATTGCTTTGAATTTGAAATACAACTGCAATAAAGAATATAATGTATTTATTTTGTAGCCGATTTTGGGGTATCTGCAAAAAATAAGCATACATTACAGAAACATGATACATTCATTGGTACACCGTATTGGATGGCACCAGAAGTTGTACTATGCGAAACATTTAGAGATAATCCTTATGATTTCAAAGTAAGTATCATTGATTGATTCTCTTATTATTTCATGTAATGTAATGACATTTTTTACTTATTTTAGGTGGACATTTGGTCCCTTGGTATAACTCTTATAGAGTTTGCGCAAATGGAGCCACCAAATCATGAAATGTCTCCAATGCGTGTTTTATTAAAGATTCAAAAAAGCGATCCACCAAAGCTTGATCAACCTGGAAAATGGAGCAAAGAGTTTAATGATTTTATTGCAAAAGCGCTTATAAAGGATCCATCATCACGACCTACAGCTGAAGAATTGTTAAGACATCCATTTATAAGTAGGAATTTGGATTCTAAACCAATAAGGGATTTATTACTTGAATATAAAGCTGATGTTGTTGAAGAAGAACTTGTGGATGAAGAAGCTGAGGTAAGATACATTGTTGTATATAAAGTTTCATTATTAATTAATAAGATTTACTTAGATATACATATTTATATAATTATTATATACTGTTAAATATCTTTTATGGATCTACAAAATTGTATAACAAAACCAATGAAAGTTTTAAGTTAAAAATATTTGATATAGACAGGCATAACAAAAATATATTTTTACATGCTTACATTATATTAGAAGGCCAAAAAAGCAAAAAAACATAGAGAACAGTATCAGCGTATTGGTAAGCTGCTTTTAAATGAAAAACATATGTGTATACAGAAAATTTTTTATATTAATATTTATTACTTCATAATATATTTAAATAATTTAGCAAATTATATTGTAAAATTTATTAGTTTTACACGGAAACATATTTATTTCTTTTGTTGACATTTTTACATATTCATACATTTTGATCAATATGTTGTTTTAATTTTGAATATTTGGCTGTGCATGCGGCTCTCCTGGGCCTCGCCAGCCCTCTCATCCTTGTACTTGTCAGGTTAGTAGTTTTAATAATAGAATGTCTATATTAATTTCTTCATTATCCACCCACATGATTTCAAACATTATATTGAATTCTCATTAAGTATGTAAATTTTTAATTATGCAAATTTTTTATACTATGTTGACTTTGGTGTAGTTTTGGTATGTAGAAAATGGTATACTTCGTTATTTATATTTATGTTATATTTATTACAAGATATATATATATATTTAACATTGTAAGAAAATATATGAATTTTTTTATAGGAGCAGCGTACATCTCAGCTTCCTTTGGAATTGGAACAACTCGGAGATGACTCTGCATCTATGCGCAGTGATGGCGATGTTAAAGGTAATGTATTATTTATATATATATGTATTCAAAATAATGTTTAAATAAAATTTCCATCTGTATATATAAATATATATCATGTGATGTAGTTGCTGAGAAAGAAAATCTTACTCCAATACCTATATCCACGAAAAAAGAGGATAGTCACAAACGGGAGATGAATAGAGATGGCGAGAAAGAAGATAGAAGTAAGAAATTGCGTAAAACTGAATCGAAGGAAAATATGCACGCATTGAACGAGAAAAAACAGGTAAAAAAAAAATTCGATACTATAAGCAATCTTGTTCCAGAAAATATTTTAACATTTTTAAATTACACTTAGGCACCCAAACCTCCAGCTACAGTTGAAAATAACGAACGTAGGATATCTAGAGATAAAGGTCCTGCGCCTCCACCTCCGTCGGTTCGTCAAGACAACAAAAATGATGAAAAAGAAAATTATGCCGATTTGGCAAACAAATCTAGTGCCATGGAATCGTTAAA